TATTCTCACATCTGCTTTATCCATTCATCTATTGATGGACACTTAGGTTGATTCCACATCTTGGCTTTTGTAAATATTGTAAATAATTGTGCAATGAATATAGGGGTGCATATATCTTTTCAAATTAGTGTTTTTGTTTTCTTCGGATAAATACTCAGAAGAATATTCATCCTGTTTTTCATATTGACTACACCAATTGCAGTTCCCCTCAAGGTGCACAAGGGTTCCCCTTTCTCCAACACGCGTTATTTGTGACTTTTTGATAATAGCCATTCTGACTGGTGTGAAGTGATATTCATTGTGGTTTTGATTTGCATTTCTCTAATGATTAATGATGTTGAGAATCTTTTCATGTCTGTTGGCCACTGTATGTCTTCTTTGGGGAAATGTTTTTTCATGTCCTCTGCACATTTTTTTTATTAGATTGTTGTGGGGTTTTTTGTTTTGTTATTGAGTTGTATGAGTTTCTTATATCTTTTGGATATCAACCTCTTATCAGATATCATTTGTAAATATATTCTCCCATTGGTAGGTTGTTTTTTGTTTTTGTTTTGTTGATGATTTCCTTCACTGTGCAGAAGCTTTTTAGTTTGAGGAAGGCCCATTTGTTTATTTTTGCTTTTGTTTCCCTTGTTGAGGTTGAGGGGATGTATCCTTAAAGATATTACTCAGATTGGTGTCAAACAGCTTATTACCTATCTTTTCTTCTAGAGGTTTATGATTTCAGGCCTTACATATAAGTCTTTCATCCATTTTGAATTTATTTTTGTATATGGTGTAAGAGTGGTCCTGTTTCTTTCTTTTGCAGATCAGGGGCATGATCTGTCCATTTTTTCCAGCATCATTTGTTGAAGAGTCTGTCATTACTCCATTTTATATTCTAAACTTTGTTGTAGATTAGTTAACCATATAAATGAGGGTTTATTTCTGGGCTCTCTATTCTGTTCCATTGATCTATGTGTTTGTTTTTGTGTCAGTACCATACTGTTTTAATTATTATAGGTTTGTAATATAGTTTAAAATCAGAGAGCATTATACCTCCAACTTTGTTCTTTTTTCTCAAGATTGCTTTGGCTATCTGTGGTCTTTTGTGGTACCATATAAGATTTAGAACTAATTGTTCTAGTTCTGAGAAGGCATATTGCTATTTTGTTGTTGTTAATCCTTACCTGAGGATATTTTTTTCCATTGATTTTTAGAAAGTGGAAGGGAGGGAGAAAAAAAAAGAAGAGAGAGAGGGAGAAAAAAAGAGAGAAAGAGAGAGAGAGAGGGAGAAACATTGATATGAAAGAGACACATCAAATGGCTGCCTCCTGCACATGCCCTAACTGGGGCCAGGGATTGAACCTGGAACCCAGGTACATGCCCTTGACCGGGAATTGAACCCTTAAGTGTATGGGCTGACACTCTAACCCAGGTGTGGGGATCGTTTGGCCTGCGGGCCACATAAGGCTGGCAAAGTCATTTGGTCTGGCCCGCCAAGGCATTAGGGGTGAGTTAAATGTTTGACCAAATATAGCAGGCTAATTTTTTTTTATTAAATTGATTGGGGTGATATTGGTCAACATGAACATATAGGTTTCAGGTGTGGGTTTTTACGTTACAAGATCTATATGTTGCATGCAGGCTAATTTTTAAGTGGATAATCTGTATGGCCCACAGGTGATGTTATAAACATCCAAATGGCCCTTGGCAGAAAAAAGGTTCCCCACCCTTGCAAGTGTAACCTCTGAGCCAAACCGGCCAGGGCGGCCGTTGTTATTTTAGGAATTGCATTGGATCTGTAGATTGCTTTGGGTAGTATGGTCATTTTAATTATATCAATCCTTCTAATCCATGAGCATGGTATATCTTTCCACTTACTTAGGTCCTTTTAACTTTCTACAATGTTTTACAGTTTTCAGAGTACAGATCTTTCACTTTCTTGGTTAAACTTATTCTTAGGTATTTTATTCTTTTTGATACAATTAGAAATGGTATTGCTTATTTAATTTCTCCTTCTGATCATGTATTATTAGTTATAGAAATGTGACAGATTTCTGCATATTCTGTATCCTGCTACTGTACTGAATTCCTTTATTATTTCTGTTAATTTTGGGTGGATTTTTTAGGGTTTTCTATATATAGTATTGTGTTGTCTGTAAATAGCGAGTTTTATTTCTTTCCAATATGGGTGCCTTAATTTCTTTTTCTTGTCTGACTACTGTGGCTAAGACTTCCAATACTATTGTATAGTAGTGGTGAGAGTGGGCATCCTGGTCTTGTTCCTGATCTTAGAGGAAAAACTTTCATGTTTTTACCATTGAGTCTGATGTTAGTTGTATGCTTGTTACATATATAACCTGATCAAGTTAAGCTCCATCTATACCCACTTTATTAAGAGGTTTTTTAAAATCATAAATGGATGTTGAATTCTATCAAATGTTTTTTCATCATCTATTGATATCATCATGAATTTTATCCTTAGTTTTGCTGATGTGATGAATCACAGTACTAGTTTTGTGGATGTTGAACCACTCTTGCATCCCTGGTATGAATCCCACTTGATCACTGTGTAAATTCCTTTAAAGTACTGTTAAATTTGTTGTGTTATGTTGTTTTTGTTAATTTGGCATCTATGTTCATCAGAGATATTGGCCTGTAATTCTCTTTTTTAGTGTCTGTCTGATTTGGGTATAAGGGTTATGCTGGCGTGTAGAATGAGTTTAGAAGTATTCCTTCCTCTTCACTTTTTTGGAATAGTTTGAGAAGGATAGGTACTAATTCTTCTTTAAGTGTTTGATAGAATTCACTTGTGGAGTCATCTTATCCTGGGCTTTTGTTTGTTGGGAGTTTTCTTTATTAAATGTTTCAGTTTTATTGCTAGTAATTGGTCTGTTCAGATTCTCTGTTTCTTCCTGGTTTGTCTTGGAAAGTTGTATTTCTAGAAATTTATCCATTTCTTCTAGACTGTCTAATTTGTTGGCATATAATTGTTCATAGTATTCTTTAATGATCCTTTGTATTTCTGTGGTGTTGATTGTAATCTCTCATTTCGCTCATTGTGTTCTCTCTCTTTTGCTTAATGAGTATTGCTAGAGGCTTGCCAACTTTATTTATCCCTTCAAAAAACCATCCCTTAATTTCATGAATCTACTGTTTTTCTATTTTCTATTATTTCCACTTTGATATTTATTATTTCCTTCCTTCTACTTACTTTGGGTTTTGTTTATTCCTCATTTTCTAGTTTCTTCAGGTGCAAATTAAGATTGTTTATGTGGGATTTTTCCTCCTTCTGGAGGTAGGCCTGTATAGCTAGAAACTTTCTTGTAATAAGTGCTTTTGGTACATCCCATTAATTTTGTAAGGTTGTATTTTCATTTTCATTTGTCTCAAGGTAGTGTTTGATTTCCATCTTGACTTCCTCTTTGACCCACTAGTTAAGTGATGGCGAACCTTTTGAGCTCGGCGTGTCAGCATTTTGAAAAACCCTAACTTAACTCTGGTGCCATGTCACATATAGAAATTTTT